TAGGGCTAACTGTCCAGCCTATCTTCTCGGAGCATAACCACGTGTACAGTAGGGCATTTTGTCAAGACTTAACCACCAAGCGCAGACTGAGACTAGAACCAAAGCTTTGCCTTTACCTCCACTGATACAGGGTTCATTCTCATTTGTGTGAATTGAAGTTACGGAATTTGTCTTTCTCCTTTCACCTATTTGATCAGCCCAAAGGATCTCGACTTGAAGATGTTTTCCCAACTCTGCCCGCTGCTAGAGGCAGTAGCTCACCTGGCAGGCAATGCTCTCCCAGACCAATCCTGGGTGATTTCGAGATATCGGGCGAGCGTCTAGACGCAATACGTACAGTGATCACTGACCAGGGCTGGGGGGGAGGGGTTGTTGCACCTTCAGGTGACTTCTGCTGATTATCATTGCAGTAGACCCAAATTGCGCCAGTGCTGTCTACGGCCGATCATAGGCAATTGCTTACTGACTACTGTGCATTATCAAGTTAGCCCACAGCATAATGTACTATAATAGTCCAACACAGTAATTCTTGAGCTTAGGATTTACCATGTCAAGATCCTGAATCTTGTGGGAATGGGTCCGGAAAGTTTTCTTGAGATTCTCTCATTCACAAGGGTAGGAGAGAAGCGAGTAAATGGCACACACATACCTAACTTACTGAGTACTGGGTATAAAGAAGCTGTAAGATGATGTCACAGTGGGGAAAAGAGGGGAGGCGCCGTTTTACAAGTGATAAATCACTCGAGTATCACTTTTTGCAACCATTTTTTTTTTTACCAAATCCAATCTTCTTTCCCGCCCCTCGGTTTAAACGTGGGACCAGGATTCCGCCACACTCAATCTCATGGTAATTAGCTTGGATGTAGCTTTAGATGTCATTGTGGAGCGAGTGTCAATTCTCAGATTCCAAGCAGGACATGATATTGTCGCATGGAGTCTACAGTACAGCACAAACCGTGACTTGTAGAGTGATAATCGGGTACGTTGTTTGAAATCAAGAGCCCTACACTGGATGATGGGATACGGGCTAATCTTACCCTACCATGGAAGGGCATAGTCCAAGTGGATGTACTATTAGGTGTTACCGTGTTAGATTGAAGCAGTGATCCGCCCCCCCCCCCCCCCAAGGGGAGTGAATAACTTCGATACCTTTCCCCGAATTTTCCTTCCAGGCTAGACTAGATGACTCTCAATTGAACTTCGGGTCCATGCACCTGGTCATAACAACATGTCACGATTACTTCTCTTCCCAAACAATAAGTGATGTGTGAAAGTTGACACTTTGAAACTTTCTCCAGGGAGGCTTATTATGCCCCATCACACAAGTCCTTTTTTCTTCGGCGAGCCGAACTATTGGGGGTGGGGATTATTGGAACTAGTCTACGTAGTAGTAAGTTGGTTTCCTTAGCCTACTTAGTATGGTTGAGTACAAAATACTAACGTATGACTTTGTGTGATCAGATTTTGAGACCGATTACAGAGTACTCGTACTTCTGGCTGGGAATGACTCGGTGGCGCCGCAGAAGAAGTCATGAACCTCGTTGGACTGAGTTGAGGCCTGTACCAAGTACTTTACCTTACGGTAGTTGGAACTCATGGGTTAACTACTAGGTACCTTGGTTCAAGCTAAAACAATCCCAGCAAAGGCCCTATCAAGTGCTGCTAAACAGAGGTCCTCCACTAGAATAATACGTATCCGGTTTAAATATTACGAAAACTGTACTGTACGTAAATCTCAGCGCTGCTTTCTTCAAAAATCTATTCTGAGCTGATACAGATTGCTGATATCCTTCACAATCATCATATGTACGCAGGACTCCAGTGCTTCAGCTCCGAATGTACAGAATTACTTTTATGTCTTATTCTCCCATCCTCGTTACAACCAATATCAGGGAGTTGACCTTAACCTCACTTGCATGCCAGCCAGAGTAATGGAGTGATACGTACAGGCCATCCCATCCATGTTATAAATTTCTCATTATGCAATATCGATTAGGTGCTGTCGATTGATGTCTTTGAATGAACTTCTCTGAGGAGATCTTCTGCGGTATATATATTCCCTTGCCCACCCTATCCTTCTCACCACACGAAATCCACACGAAGGGGACAGTGAAGAATTGGCATGACTGCACTTGTTCCTGTGCTGCCGTCAAGGCCAAAGGATCTGGGTTAAGCAAGCGTCCGCATTCATTTTACATTGTCCCATCTATGATGCGTCAGGTAACAGCAACCATTCCAACAGGTGATGCTTCCATGGACACCGAGCAGGTCTGTTCGTCTGCCGAGATAGCCACCGAGAAAAGGTAAGAAAACAGAAAGATAAGAAAAACCATGGGACCGAAATCATGAACAGAATAGATATCAGCGGCGGCTGAATCAAGAAAGCATCTATACAAAATTGGTCCCGTACGTCAAAGCGACTGCAGTAAACCGCGTTCAAGGGGATTAACCGTAGATAACACACCACCTTCCGAACATACATATGGAGAGAGAAGAGCTACTAAAACAGAGACTGAAGAATATATGAGCCAGGGGCAGGCCGAATGCGAGAGCTCCTAGCTCCCACGCCCGAGTGGGAGTCATTAGCCCCAGCTACGTTTTAGGGCGTGCTTAGAAAGGAGGAGGGATCATGCCCTGGGCCTCAACTTTCTCTTGCTGCTCCATCAATTCCTCGCCAGCGATCTCGAGGGAAACAGCAAGACCGAGCTTGGCCGTTTGCTAACAGAGAGACAAGTATTAGTGTGACAATTTCAACGAAAGCTGTATTTTGTTAAGTGCGACTCACCTTGGCCTGATCAATTTCGCCGGCGAAAGTAAGAGCAATAGGCATGGCTATCCGCTTCTCGAGAAGGCAGCTGACCTTTCCGGCACTGTCGACCTGAGCACGGAACGTAGAAGCGCGGAAGTCATACTTAGCACCGATGGCAGTAGTGCCATCACGGCTAGGACCACCCATCAGCGCAGCAGCCGCATTAGGAGCAAACTGCAGGTTCATATCGACACCAGCCTCAACCCGCTCAGAAAGCTTCTTCCAGTAAGAGGCAGTCAGGACACCCTGAGCCTGAAGTTGTGCGCTAGCAATCCAGTCGTTGGCCTTGTAACGGGCACTATACGACAGGGCACTTTCCGGACGAGTGTTCATACCCTGGCGCTGCCAGATTGCTTCAAAACCAAGTGCTAGACTGGGCGTAACGGATTGGAGATAGCTGCCAACGAAGATTCCAGTGAGGCCCCCATCCAAGAGAGATGGGTTGAAAGCCTTGAGAGAAGCGGAGAAATCATCACCGGTGTAGTCCTGGTCGACCTGAATGAGGGCCTGACTGGAACCAGCCATAATCTGAGTGTTGGTCTTGGTGACCAACTTGGGGGTCCAGCGGTAGTTGGCGACAGCAGCGAGTCCACCATCGCTTCCGATGTTACCTTGCATAAAGACCTGTATGAATCAGCAACGAGGACCGTTAGCATACTTCATGAAGTGTAGCGAGGGTATCTTAAATCAGAGAAAGGTTTACCTTCGGACTTCCATACATAGCGGAGAAGTTGTACGGAGGCAGGTTCCCGGACGAGCCCATCGAGAACGCATGCGATACACGGAACAAGGGAGACATCCCGAAGACCTTAGTCAAATCGGCTCGAAGACCCGTGAACATGAAGTTTGACAGCAGAACATCCTTTTGCACCTCCCGGGCGATGTTTTCCACAGTTCCGGGGTTGGATAGACCGAGGGCAGCCCTGCGCTCGGAGAACGAGGAGTATGCATCCTTGAGGGCTGCGGCAACGGAATTGTCCGTCAAAAAAGATGGAGGAGCCAAATAATCGGACATTGTGAAGTATTGCGGAGGAAAAACAAGGTCGGTATACTCGAGTGGAAGAAAGCGGACGTTGGAACGTGACGCGGCCGTCCTTGTGATGGAAAGATGGGGAAGGACAAGGCTAGGAAAGATGAGTTCTTGACACCAGCCCTAAAAAGAAGACCGAAGGAATCCAAGAGCAACCGCGGCAGTTGCAAAGTCAGGTATCGAGGAAAGTACCTGACCTGCTCGGGGAGGTAGGGGGAAGGGGGTAGGAAGAAGAAGAAGAGGAGGAGGGAATGTCAAACACCGAGGTAGAATTGGTGGTGAGGTTTCAGTTGATGGACGATTGAAGCCCAGAGCTTTCGGGACTGAAAAAAGTCGCTCACCTTCGCTTTTCCGCCCGGGCTACGGCTTAGGTATCTGCGGTCCGCCGGAGCCAGACTTACTCTAGTGAGAACCAGCCTCGGATGCTCGGACTTTCAGTTCCGCCGGAATGACCTAATCAACCTAGTTACTCATGCACCTAACTACCTACGTAGTAACTTAGTTACGTACTCCGAGTAGTACGGCCCGGGTAAGCCTGAGTGCCATCGTTAGCCAACCGACCAACCGACCAACCTCGAACTGGACGGAACCTTGTTAACTTAGTACCTACTAGGTACTTACTGCATTATTGAGTTGACTAACTAGTTAAGGCAGCTGAATTAGTCATCATTTACACATGCATCTCGACATTCTATCTTATCCAGTTCTTGTACAGTATAGTACAGAAGTACCGTTTTACCTTCTATATTGTCTTCAAACTATCATTCACAGCCTTCATCAGCCTGAATCTCCCCTATCCTGTCACGATAATTATGTCCCAATGATAGAATTGCTTCATTGGGTGTGGTTTTTCTGACTATGAGTATCTGGTAATCATCGTATACTTACTCGAGGCATGTACAGCTGAGTACTGTACCTAGGTACTAGAGACACAGTCCGCTGCCTGGTTGGGCCGAGCTCGTGCTGCTCCATCTCCTTCTCTAATCTCGAATGCCGACTGCTGAAACCTACCTGCCTGCCTTCCTTTGACTCCAGCTTTCACCCTCCATAACCTTTCCTTATTTATCCCGCCAGGTCTTCTTCAACATCGACATAGAAATTGTTCGTTGTCGTGCTGTTCATTATCAGTGTCAAAAAAACTCATACTTCTCCCTTAACACCATGGACACATTACTGTAAGCCCCCTTCTCCCCGCCATCTCGTGCCATTCTCCGATCCATTATGAGGCTGGCTCCTGCGCACTCGCCTGTGCCTACCCATACCGCTTACACCTTATGCGACGTGGATAGTCCCACAGCAAGCAAAATTGGTTGTCGATGCTACCTGGTTCTCTAACATGGATTAGAACTGCTGACATTATCGCCAATTCCCCGCGTTTCCGACGGAAGTCTTCTACCTTCGTCGATGCGATCCATGACTTACCCGAGAAGGCCGATCTGGCTCCGGCCCAGCTCTACAGTACCGAGTCAGGACGGCTTTTCCACTCCGGCCGAATCGTCATCATCACCGTGGGGTTACCGGCGAGGGGTAAAACGTTCGTCATACCTAAGCCACTCGTATGTTTCCTTTGGCTCGCTGACGCTTGATCAGACATATGTCTGTAGCTCTAGCGCGATATCTACGATGGTAGGTCGATTCTTCCACGGGAGATTCGCTGAGACTAGCGCTTAAGATATATCAGGTTAGGCGTGAAAACCAGAATATTTCATCTAGGAGATTATAGACGTGCAACCATTCCCTTTGGCCAGGATATTCCAGATGACTACTTCTTCGTGAACGGTAAGCACCAAGTTGCAGTTCTTGCATCTTTCCTCAGAGTACTCATTCCGCACAGCATCCGCTTCATCGGTCCTCTTAAGACAAAAGATTGTGAAACGGTGTCGGGAAGATATTTATCAGTTTCTGAACCATGAAAATGGACAGATAGCCATTTACGACGCCGTCAATCCATTGGCATCCGGTCGGCGATCACTCGCAAAAGAATTCGCTAAGCATGACATTGAGGTGAGTTGTCTGGGATGTGTGCTTTGGGTCTCTTCGATTATTTTGACCCCTTCCCCCGTTAGACACTATTCATCGAGTCGTGGTGTGACGACGAGCGCATAATCGAAGAAAACGTCCGAAGGGTCAAAATATCCTCACCCGATGTAAGTACTTCCCGAACTTTTTGCACGAGATCCTAATTCTTGTATAGTATGTGGGCTGGAGCTCGGAAGATGCTGTGAAACATTACCTGACTCGGATAGCCGCTCGTATTCCTCAATTTCAGTCAATGGAGGAGACGGATCTGAACTATATCAAGGTACTCTCAGTAGCCCTTCTGAGGCCATCTGCTCTCGCTAATCACAAATAGATGATGAATGCTGGGGAAAGGTTAATTGTGAACAATCGAAGCTTCGGCTATCTTTCCAACAGAATAGTGTTCTATCTCCTCAATCTTCACATCAAATCCAGACACACGTACTTTGCACGAGTAAGTCTGGAGGATTGTATCTGTTTTATATATTTCAAAGGCTGAAAATCACCAGGCTGGCGTATCACTGGAAGCGGATTCTTACAAAGCAGATGCCTCGCTGTCTGAGCAGGGCGAAGACTACGCGAAGAAGATGACGGAGTCCTTGCTGAGGCATAGGGAGTCTGAAAGGCAAGCAATGATCGACGAGGGAGAACCGAGTTACGAGTTAAAACCACTTACTGTCTGGACCTCCACACGAAGAAGGACGGTTGAGACGGCTAAGTATCTCCATGAAAAAGGATACAAAGTGCGACAGAGATCTCAGATGAGCCAATTAAACCCGGGAGTTTGCGAGAAGATGTCAGAGGCGAAGATCCGTCAGGAGTATCCGGAAGAGGTTGCAAAACACGAACTTGACCCCTACCATCATCGGTATCCGCGGGCGGAGGTGAATCGCCCTGCTATCTCCTCAAAAGTATTATCATAGTAGCTGACAGCAATGACAGTCATACCATGACCTTGCAGTTCGACTCGAACCTATCATTCTAGAGCTCGAGCGTGAACAAAACGATTTGCTGATTATTGCACATGAAAGCGTGCTGAGAGTCTTATACGGGTACCTGATGGCCTGCAATGCTGCGGATATCCCATTCTTGGATTTCCCTCGCGATGAGATTATTGAAGTAAGCCCAATCAAAAGCCCTTGAGGTTCATTTGAGATGTATGTCCATCTGACCGGTCCTTCTAGATCATACCCGAAAGCTATCAAAACGAAGCACGCAGGATCCATATCTCTGGCCTTCCCAGAGAAATCGTCCCCGGTTCTCCTCAGGACATCAAGATCCCTGTGCCCCCCAGCGGAGTAACAACCCCTTTGGCTGCTGATCTTGGCAGCCCGCGCGAGGGTCTCTCGACTCCACAGAGCGGTCTCCGAACCCCGCGCGAACCGGAAAGAATCTCACAGCAGCATGTTGAAGACGTTGTCTAGTATATACATTGGTTATCATGCACATGGTACCATGGGCGTTGTTGGTGTCGGGCAGATCCTCATATATCAAAGTGTTAGCGAAAGGACTCGGCACTAGCCGCCGTGGAGCGTAGAAACAAAGACGATATTATCGCCTGATTGAAGCTCATAAGTTTCCTCCCCTTCGAGCTCCCAGTCGGCATCGTTGATCAAGACTAGGATTCCGGGGCGCCTAGTAGAAATATACATATATACGGTCAGTCAGCCTTGCTCTCATGCCGGTCCTCGGACAGACGTACACATTATCTTCCAGTATGAACAAATCTTTTCGTTGATCTTTCATGAGGTTTTCGACCAAGTATGCAAGAAGGTAGGACACATTTGGTCGGTTGCCATCGCTGAGCCGAGAAGGAAGGGTGATGCTGTGCTTGCGCTCGTTGGCGAACAAGATTTCTAGGCCCCCGCTATAAAGCAAAGCGAAGCAGTCAGTGAATCATGCTCGGGTCAGCTCTGCAATTATGTAGAGAAAAGGGGGAAACTCAACGTGAACTCAACCGTGAGCGAAAGGGATGTGGAGTCTGAAGAGTTTGCTTCCATGATTGGAAGGAAAGGATAGATCGGTAGATTTGATGGATAGATAGGATACTCGGAGTGAGTTTGACCGTGATCTTGAAAGATTTCACTGAGTAAGAGGCAAGAAGACGAAAAGGACGCTGCTGGTGTCCAGTGGTAGGGTACGACGGTACTCCGTACTCCGTACTTAGTTGTTAGTCTTATCGATAAGCTTCCCCCCTCCCTCTCCAGCACAAAAAGTCAGTCGATTTGCGACAGACCGCCTGCCTGCCTGCCCCCCCGCTTCTCTTACCTGTTCGTCCGTGCATCTGAGATTGATTCAGTTCTGACACCAAGCGGTTGTTCATTACCTCCCTTTCCAGACCTGTTGGGCTCCGATTTCACCAGCTCAATGGTCTCTGTCACCACTGAGTACATTAGCGTTGGGGGCAATAGGCATCCCGCCGCCGCCGATTGGGACGTCCGGACTGGCGTGCTTGCCTTCGGTGCCGATAACAATGTAGCACTGTGGAACCCCAATGTGAGGGCTCATTTATCAATAGCTTTCCTTTCGTTCATTGCCTGACCCAAATACAGGATAGTACGCAGCGCGGAGTCTATTCACTCCTTGTCGGCCACACCGACAAGGTCAGCGCCGTTCGATTCTACACCTGCCCTACTACAGACGCTAAATACCTTTTGACCGGGTCAGTCGACCATACAATCCGCCTATGGCGAGCGCACTCAGCCGACTCGCGTCAATTCGTGCACGTGAATACCCTGGAAGGCCATACTGGTTCAATCAATACCATCGCCGTGGCTGACGGGCACGACATCGTGGCAACGGGAGCCGCTGATGGAACCGTCAAAGTATGGAAGATTCATGCTCAAGGCGAAGCGAAGGGCGAGCTGCTCAAGTCAATATCCATGAAGCCACGGTTCTTTCCACTGGCCTTGGCATTGAGCCCTCTTCAATCGGAGTCGGATACCAGACCCGTCGCCTTAGCGGTTGCAGGCACCACCAATGCCGTGCAAATTTACGTGGCGGAGAATACCCTTACAGCTCTTGAATTCAAGCTCTCGGCTGTGCTGTCTGGACATGAGGCTTGGGTACGGTCCTTGAATTTCACGTTAGATAAGCAGAGCGCAGCCGGTGACATTCTGCTGGCCTCGGCGAGTCAAGACAAATATGTCCGACTTTGGAGACTGCAGCGTGGGGAGGCTACTTCTACTGCTCCGGCCGATTACGGTGACCCCATGATAGGTGGCGTTGAGACAACTCTTTCGAACAAAGCCCACCAATTCGAGGTAACCGGGCTGAAATTCTCTGTCACCTTTGAAGCGCTACTTTTCGGAAATGAGGACTGGATCTACACCGCCAACTGGAATCCCTATCCAGAGCGCCAGCAGCTCCTCACTTCCTCGGCTGATAATACATTAACCATTTGGGAGCAAGATCCTGCTTCCGGGGTGTGGCTCTCCGCCGAGAGGATGGGAGAGATTAGCGTCCAGAAAGGCTCAACAACCGCTACTGGCAGTACGGGTGGGTTTTGGATTGGCCTCTGGTCTCCGGATGGCACACAGGTTGTCAGCCTCGGTCGTACCGGTAGTTGGCGAGCATGGAAATATGATGCAGCATCTGACTTGTGGGTGCAATCTCTTGGGATTTCTGGACATGTACGGTCGGTCAATGGCGTGCAATGGGAGCCTTCTGGCGGATACCTCCTGTCGACTAGCGCCGACCAAACCACGCGCCTTCATGCCAAATGGGAGCGCGAAGGACTTCAGTCTTGGCATGAGTTCTCCCGTCCTCAAATACATGGGTACGACCTGAACTGTATCGATACTCTAGGACCGGCTAGATTTGTGTCTGGCGCAGACGAGAAGCTTTTGCGGGTTTTCAATGAGCCTCGACCAATTGCGCAACTACTGGAGAGGCTCTCCGGTTTCAAGCAATCCGAGGAGGTTCAACTGCCTGACGCAGCCGAGATCCCTGTGCTGGGTTTGTCAAACCAAGCTCCGGCTGACGATGCCCCCGGAGGAGAGGAGGAAACAGATAACGCATATATGGAAAAGACACAGGCTATCTCAACGGCACTTCTAGAGTCGAATCAACCACCATTTGAGGATCAACTGGCTCGTCACACCCTATGGCCCGAGCATGAGAAGTTATATGGCCACGGCTATGAAATCTCTGCCGTAGCCGTTAGCCACGACCGCACGCTTATCGCCACAGCCTGCAAAGCGAGCTCGATTGACCATGCGGTGGTTCGTTTATATGACACTTCCGACTGGCATGAGATCCGGCCCTCCCTTGCCACTCATACATTGACCATCACAAGTCTCTGTTTCTCTAGTGATGACCAGCATCTTCTCAGCGTTGGTCGTGACAGACAATGGGCTGTGTACAAGCGCAGCGAGCAAGACCTCTCAACCTTCTCAATACTGACGAACAATCCCAAGGGTCATTCGCGTATGATTCTCGACGCCGCATGGGCTCCGATATCACAGACTCCTATCTTCGCGACTGCTGGCCGCGACAAGTCAGTGAAGGTCTGGCAAATGCATGACGGTGCATGCGAATGCAAGGCGACAATCCCCTTGAATACCCCCGTAACTGCCATCTCATTCCTTTCGAGTATACAGAAGAATTCGTTCATTCTCGCCGCGGGCGAAGAGAGCGGGGAGCTGTCTATCCACCGTATTGCCATCGGCAGTCTGCAAATTAGCCACCTGGCAAGCGTTGACAAGCTCAAATCGCCGTCCAAGGCCATTACCCAACTTTCCTGGCGGCCGGGCCAGAAGGAAGCGGCGCCACATTTCGTGCTTGCCGTGGCCAGTGAAGATACCTCGCTGCGCATATATGATTTCTCGGATTTGGTTTCATGAACGGAAGATTGGTATATCCAGGTACACGTAGTATATCCGCAGTAGGGGACAATGATGAAAGCCAACAAAGAAAAAATGAAGTAAATACCATTCATTAGATCGTCTGCATGTTGAAAATCGCCCGGAGGAGTGGGTTGAATGTATCCGCTTGTTCTAGATATCTTGAAATTGAAAGCTACCGTGTATCGGCCATGATGGTTGAATTGTGCGCGCCCATGGAAATAGGGCAAGGCCAAGGTAGAGAGTGCAAACATTAGAAAAGAAAGAGAAGATGAGAAGTGGCATACATCACGGCCGCTTTTCAAGCCCATAACCACCCAGGCCATCTAGTGACGGGTAGGTTTTGGCCTGGCCCTGATATCCATTTCGGGGACCTCTGTGCCGAAGATCCTCCGTGAGCCATTTGAGCACCAGCTCGCCCAGCTGAGTATTCTGGGACGACTCTTTGACCTCATCATGGAACTTCTCGATAGGACCCCATTGGCGGACGGTGCCTAGATGCATGTGGACCAGATGCGTGGGCCACAGGGACAAATTGTCCAAAATGTGAGTGGCATACACGATGGAGCAGGGTCTGGATTCTGCTTCGCGCTTCAAAAACCCCAGGAAATTGGCCCGGGAGAGCAGGTCCAGATCGACGGTGATTTCATCAAGCAGGAGAACCCGCCAGGGACGGAGCAAGCCCATCGCAAGCTGCACGCGGCGACGCTCTCCATCCGACACGGCGTGCATGCGCCACCGGAGATCGATGTCGAGTATCTCGACCAGCTCGTCCCGGCGTTCTGGGTAGGCGTTACCGCCGACAGATGCAAGTAGAGTGGGCACGTCGATGTCGGTCCGGACAATGTTGTTCAGGACCCATTCCATGCCGAGATAAGTGACGCCTTCCAAACCATCTTTGAATGGGTCTTTGCCGGCCACGGTAATGGTGTCCGTTGGGGCCAGACGCTTTCCGGACAGGAGGCGTAGGAGTGTGGTCTTGCCGGCACCGTTGGCTAGGAAGATGTCAATCTCCCAGAAGATGAATATGGTCACTTTACCCCGCAGCGAGCTTACCTCCAATGAGTAGAGTACGACTGCCGGACGGTACGTTCAGATTGATATCCGTCAAGCCTGATGATCCATCGGGAAACTTGAAAGACAGGTTTCTCACCTCGATTGAGGGGAGATGGAGATCGGAGTCAGCCATGGAAGAAGAAGAAAGAGATATTGGTCGGTATCTATGGATAGCCCTTTGGTCCTTTTCCACAGAGTCAAGCAATCTATTTAAGGAATTGAAGTCAATTGATTGAAAGCTGGGAGATCGGCGGGACAAGCAGATCAGGCAAGGGGGGGAGGGAACGAGCGATAAAAGATAAGATCCTAATCCTTGATGAGGTAAGAAACCCGAGGGTGCGATTTTCTCCCTCTCGTTCGCCGATTCTTTCCCCGCAATATTTTGTGTTTCTGGGAGACGGCACCGAGCACCCACAGCCTTGTCTTCTCTGAGGTCGGGTATATTTTTCCAGGCCAAAATGCTAAGTGTGGTCTGGTTCTGTACCTCATGCGACATCTTCTCCGGCAACTGTTCTCTAGTTTTCACTCGTCTCCACCAGTCATGAAACCTCTCATCGCTGTCGTCGGAGCGACAGGTACTGGCAAGTCGAAGGTAAGCAAGAATCGAGAATCAGTAGAAGAGAATTAAATAGCAAGAAGGCTATGCTTATGCATATAGTCAGGACTCATTTATTAACGGCTACAGATAGCTTGCAGTTGACCTGGCCTCGCGCTTCAATGGCGAAATCATCAATGGTGATGCAATGCAAATGTACCGCGGCCTCCCGATCATCACCAATCAAATCCCTCCCGAGGAACGTAACGGTATTCCGCATCATTTACTGAGCTGTGTCGAAATAGAGGAAGAGCCATGGTGGATCGGTCGATTCAAACAGGACAGTCTTCGGCTAATTGACGAGATCCACGCCAAGGGGAAACTTCCGATTCTAGTCGGAGGCACACATTACTACACACAAGCCGTGCTCTTCAACGACCAACTGGTTGATGCAGATCAAGATTCCAGTGATTATGATCCATTTCTCCGGGATGACAACAGTGACCGGGACTCACCGACCAAATGGCCGATTCTCGACGCTACTCCAGAAGTGATGTTGCAGAGACTCAAAGAAGTCGACCCGGTCATGGCGGCCAGATGGCACCCAAATGATGCCCGCAAAATCCGGCGCTCTTTGGAGATCTACTTCCAAACTGGGCGCCCCGCCTCTGAAGTCTACGCAGAACAACAGCGGCTGAAACAGGCTGACATGGCGCGCAACAGCCTTTCTCTTGGCGTGGGCCGTTTGCGATACCCGACAATGATTTTCTGGGTGCACTCGGAGAAGGAAATGCTCAATTCCCGATTGGAAAAGCGCGTGGACTCGATGGTAGACCAAGGGCTCATGGAGGAAGCTAGACGCATGTTTGATTTTTCTCTGGAGAAGAAAAAGCAGGGCGATCCGGTCGATCACACGCGAGGCGTGTGGGTTTCCATTGGCTACAAGGAGCTGGCGCCGTACTTCGATGCCCTCTATAAGGGTTCCATGAGCGAGTTGGACTTGGAGGCCTTGAAAAGAGCCTGCGTCGGGTCCATCAAGTCTGCAACGCGACAATACGCCGTGTCACAAATTAAATGGATACGAAATAAGCTATGGAAAGCTATTGCCGATGCAGGCGCGACTGATCGTCTCTACCTCCTGGATAGCACGAACGTCGAGGCATGGAAGGAGACTATAACACAGCCGTCAGAGGAATTGGTACGAGCTCTGCTGAATGGTGAATCCACTCCCGATTCCAAGTCACTATCAGAGCTTGCTAGAACCGTCCTGAGTGCAAAAGAGGCGCAGCCGCAGAGAGATTCCACCGCCTATATGAAATGTATAACGTGCAATGTCTGCAAGAAGACAATGCAAGGCAGCGAGCAATGGGATATTCACATCAATGGGAATGTACATAAGAGAGCTCTCAAAAGTGCTGCCAAGAAGGCTGCACGTGATGCGTACCTCCGGAAACGGCAGGATAGCCTCACCTCAGGCTCAGATGTTCGGCCAGACATTAGCAGTGAAGCCGCGATCAAAGAAGACGCAGGGTAAATGCCACTATCAATGGTTGCTGTACGACTTCTACTCTTGCGCGCTGAGGGTACATAGGACACTCTCGGTGTTTAGCTGTGATACTGACTCGTTGCTGTGCTGTATATCAGCGAACGAGATTACAGACCGTAAATCAGAGGACATTTTCAATATGTAACCACCAGACTAGATATCCTAAGGACAGACACTTCTCATCCCGAGGGTTCAGAGTTGAAAAAGTAGCCACAAGAAACATACACGCTTTCCGATGCTTGACATTCGATCAGATCTAGCTGGGACATGTGTGTCCTCGAATGTAGGACATCGGGTAAGCCGCGGCGGACTACAATTCACCACGGAATTGATCCCGTCAGCCCTCTGACCAGGAACATAAGTGCGCAGGCGCCTTCTTGTGCCAAAGACATTTGTCACTGGGGGATGCACATATCTCGCAATGGGAATTTTTGGACCAAGAATCGACATCAGATGAGAGCCAATGGCGACCGTTCATAATTCCGGCTTCTCGTTCATCAAGCCTCTGAACAATTCGCTATAGAAAACCAGGCTTTAACGAGCCTGAGTCTCTCAAATTGTGGTCCTCCAAGCTGAAAAGGCCGGAGAGATGATGTCGCCAGTCCCACTATCCTCCACTTTGAAGACCTCGATGACTGAGGATCTCTCACGTTTGACTATTCTCCACGTCCCTTCCTCCTGAATGGTGGATGTAAGCCCTGGTTTTGTTAGTTCTAAATCCTGAGGTGACAGTGTTTAAAGACCGCATGAGGATTGAGTGGGCCTTTTCCTACATTGCAGAAATTCAGCAGTGAAATTGATGCATATATTTCCGTCCCAGGTCGCTCGTCCCACCTTCTTGACCTTGCCTGGTATGCTGGCGGTGTCCAATTCCTCAAGACGGTGGACAATTCCTTGCTGGTCTCGAAACCCGACGATAATTCGAGGCACGCCAAGAAGGAATGATTGAGCCCAGAACTTGAGAAGCTTCCTTTCGTATTTGACCATGTCCCGGTCATTCCTGATCTCGGCCGAGGTTTTCAGTTCTACCCAGTTGATCGGGTCCTCCTTCCGGTCCGGTTTGCGGTCCCATACTTCACACACGTGGTTATTTCATGTCAGTTATCAGTTATCTGATAGACCCATTGCAATCACTTACTAGCATCCACTTCGCCCCCAATGACAAGTTTGGTGCGACCTATCGCAGTCCGCACCACGGAGCAATACTGGGCCTTGTTGTTCACAACAAGCTCTTCTCGACCTTCAATCTCCTGACGAGGAGTTGGATCCCATGGTTGGTTGAGTAACGATATTGTTTCAAATTTGTAGCCTACATCAATCAGTGTCAATTTGGCGAATGATCACCCGAAGAGCCCCGACAGCATTCGGACTCGGCCGTGGAAGACAACTGTACCCCAGTATGCCATTAGCTCTTGAGAAGCCATACCAGGAGGCATTCTCTGGTTCTTCTGGATCCGCTTCTGCTCATTTTTGTAGCTGTTGTTCTCTTCAATGAAGCTAGAAAGCATTAGGGCCCGCACATAGCCGACTGGAGCATACGCACATAGTTCCCTAACAAGGTTGTCAACGACTTAGCATAGTTAAAGCTGGGGATCAATGATAGCTTACTTGGTACAAGGTCGCGTTCATCTCAAACCTGTAACGGGGTTAACTCAATGATGTTAGAGCTTCACCGAACGTCCGAGACATACCCGTTCATATTGTCAAAGGGAGCCGTCAGTATCTATGCCTCCAGTGGTACATTAGCACCGAGCCTTTGGCAAAGCAGTATCGCCCACAGTCGTTAGATGTCATACCGACCTTGGTCATCATTCCTCTCCAAGTGATGATATCAGCTTCGCATTTGTTTCCCGTATCCTGTTCTAGAGCTATGATGGTATCGAGCAATGCATCGAGATGCTCGTCGGCGGAATCATCTAGCTTCTGGAAGGATTCGAACCCCCGGTTCAGATCTGCAGGGAGATGCGGTGTGTAGTAGTATTTCAAGGAGGACTCTCCCAGATGGAACTCATGATTATCGTCATAGGAAAAACATGCGATTTCCTGGCCATGTTTAATACCAATCTCAACTATCCAAGTCTAGAAAGGGATTGTGGAAGAGGCGTAGGTAGGGGCAGGCAGGTAATAAGCGTAATGTTAGTTAGTACTTACCTTAGGACGTCGAATTGCGGCACTGGCTCCGTAGAAGCGGCCAATGGGTTGAATATCAAACACTTTCCGGTCCATTAGGAGGTTAACTTAATTCTCAAGACGCAAAAGCATCCAAGATCATAATTGATAAAGTGATAAGTGGGCGTACAGTACAGGCCCAAGTAAAAAACCACGTACAGTACAATATATGTACTGACTGTACGGAGTACGGAGACTCAGTTTGAGTTCGCTCCGCCCGCCCTTCTGGAAGAAGCCAAGCGCGCATTGCTATTCTTGCCTTTCCCCACCCCCCACCACCACCAAATGTCGCCTGCTATCCAACTCCTTCTTCCTTCCTTTTCTTTTTCCTGAGCAAGCTTGACGTCCGAAGTTACCTTCTCAAACTCGCGACTACACTTTCTAATTATATCGTGTCCTGCTCATCGAGACACTTGGTCCAGCTTGTTCCCAGGCATTCATCAAGGTCGTCACCGCAGAGCCTCCTTGAGGTAGTCTCCACTACAACATGACCTCACGTATTGAGAAGACCATCGCTCGACAGCAAGAGAAGTGAGTCAACCCACCTCGCGCATCCAATAACAACTTGCACAAGCCAGGACGAAATTGTTAACAGCTAACCATGTTTTGCCATCGTCTTCCAGAATCGCTTCTGGTGCATATTACGAAGCTCATCAACAACTACGAGTCATCGCCGCGCGTTATATTAAACAAGCCAACTACGATGTGGCGGCAGAACTATTAGCTAGTGGCGCTGCAGCCCTCTTGAAAGCCGGCTCCCAGCAGGGTGCTTCCGCTAGTGGCGGAGACCTTGCTATCATGCTGGTCGTCGAGGTGTACATCAAGGCAGGTTGGGAGATCACCCCCGGCGATGATGATACTGAAGGACGAAGTCGCAAGAGTAAGTGTTGCATACAGTGTCAACTTCGAATAGGCTGCCATTTGTCACCATCTATACCACGACCTCACTCGGAACAAGGCTGACGGGCAATGTCAATAATAGAGCGATTGATCGAGCTTCTGCACGCCTTCCCACCCGAGGAACCTACACGGAAAAGGTTTATCCAAGAGATGATCGGATGGAGTGGTCGTTTTGGCCCCCTGGAGAGAGGAGACCCCGAATTGCATCATGCTGCTGGATCAGTATACGCCGAGGGTATGTGAATCACATTACATATCGAAGACCAGACAGTTCTCTAATCTGAAGCTTATAGACCATGAACCATATGACGCTGAGAAGCATCTTATTTTCGGTACCTCAGAATCGGCCGAGACTCTGGCGAAACTTGAATACGAGTGGTACACTCATGACGATCCGCATACGGCAGCTATCTACGCATCTCGTGCCGTATTCCCATACCTTCTCATCGGAAACCTTCGCAACGCCAACAAAGCCTTTCTTATCTTCACGTCAAAGCTTTCCTCCTCGAATCCATCACTCGGCGTACAAGAGGTCAGCAGCGCTAGCTCTGACGTGCGGGTCTATCCCGCGCTCCCTTTGCTGAACTTCATAAGCATGCTCCTCCTCACGATACAGCGTGGCAGTTCGGATCTTTTCAAGCAGCTGACCGCTCATTATGCATCCCACATTCGAGAGGTGGGCATCTGGGACGAAGCCCTGGCTCAGCTGGGTGAGCAGTATTTCGGAATCAAAATTCCCAGGCAAAGTAACCCCCTGCTAGACATGATGGGCAGCATGCTTTTCGGAGGTGGTCAGGATACTGCCGGTGCCCGGACGGCACCTCAAGGACGAGCGGGTTCGAAAAGGGTCGAGGCGCCCCCTGCGAGTATGGAGCTTGACTAGTTTGAGGCTGACGGGAACTCCCGCAATGTAAATCAATGCAGTTCACATACATCATCCACCAAGCGTCATGATAGGCGTCATGATAGGCATAAGGCATGTAACCACCGTGAAGATTCTAGATACTGGAGTCGACCTCGGGTTCGTACATCCAATTATCTTCCTCCAAAGCGGCAACTTTGTTACGAAGGCTCTGCTGGATAAGCGTCAAGATTTCTATCTCCAATTAGTTTCGGCCTCTCTAACGGCTGTCGAAAAGACTTGCCAGCTGGCTCACTACTCATACGCCTGCTCTTGTTCCGATACATTTCAGACAAACTGGCTTCGATCTCTATGGTGAATTAGCATGGTCTTGTATGCAGGGCATGGCAATGAGGCTTCAGCACGAATGCTTACTCTCTTTCTCTCGTCTTGAGATATCGGTCTGGTTTGTAGCATCGATTGTTGCGGCCCCGGAACCGCCCTGGGCACCTACGTCTTCTATACCCTCCATTTCATCACCCCCATTGCCAACCAAAGCGGGGAGAACCGGAATGTCGAGCTTGTAGCCACCGTTCTTGTCTCGGGCCACAATTTCCCCCCCATCAACGGGGCCGGAACTCAAGGACGAGGCTGAGTCCGAGGACATCGAGGGTGCCATCTGCGCGGATAGAACCGGAACCCCGTGAGTAGCACTGCTCTGCGCAGAGGAGCTAGAAGGAGCCATCGAGCCAGGGCGTCTGCTGAAATGATGGTGAAAGAGATTGCGGCGGACAGAAGTCGTTCCCATGGTGAAGATTACAGGAAAGAGCATTCACTGGTTGAGGTGAAAGCTGTTGTAGTAATGGTGAGGTAAAGTAAGCGTTGTCCCGGAAGTTGGTAGAGCGCCTAGTGGTCATAAAAGTAATAAACAAGGTCTTGTAACGTAATACAGACGCGATAAATATAAGTTGCAGAAGTTGCAGTAGTAATAAAGGTTCTTGGAGTAGTAGGTTATTTTTGAAACATCAGCAGTCCCAGAGACTTATGATGTGGTGGGTGCATACTCCGTGCCATGCATGCAGCAGTGATCGAAAATGGAAGAAATATGGAAAGCGGAGGCGGGAATACAATCGGTCTGTTTGCCAACTGGCCAACCGGACCCCATGTGATCCTGAAACGACAGAAAAAGATAGATCGATAGATTCCTGCATCGTCGGCGGAAACTAACTTGCACAAGAAGAGTGCACTGTGGAACTACTAAGTTGCTTGTGGGAGCGAAAGAAAAGAAGAGAGAAGCCTTTACAATCACAGCCTCTGGTCACTGCACCGGCAACAATCAATTACAACTCCTTTGGGCAAACCCCCGCATGTCCGATCCGACGCGTCTCCGCCTTGACCTGCGCGCGTCTTCCTTTTGCCGAGCCATACCCAGTCTTTGATTATAAACCATCTGCCTTATTCGCATACCACACAGACTAGCCTGTTAACCGTGACAGCTCGATTCATCTTCCCTCTCACCCATAATCTCCATGGCTCAGGCAGAATCTTCAGCCAGCGCTGCCCGCAATGGACTCAAACCCCATACGGCCGGCGCTCCTCCCGACTACGAGCTCCCTTGGTATGACGCCGCCACGATGACCAAGGGACCAAGGAACTAACATTGTGTCGCAGGGTTGAGAAGTACCGCCCGATCTTCCTAGATGATATTGTGGGCAACACCGAAACGGTTGAACGATTGAAGATTATCGCCAAAGATGGGAATATGCCACACGTTATAATTTCTGGCATGCCTGGTATCGGAAAGACAACCTCGATTCTGTGCTTGGCAAGGCAATTGCTGGGAGATGCATACAAGGAGGCTGTGCTTGAGCTGAACGCCAGTGATGAAAGAGGTATGCCCACCTCTGAGCGGCGGCCTGCACAATTTTTGACATCTCTCTTTAGGTATTGATGTTGTGCGCAACCGGATCAAGGGCTTCGCCCAGAAGAAAGTCACACTGCCTCCTGGCCGTCACAAGATAGTGATCTTGGACGAGGCAGATAGGTACGAGCCCGTGATTTACCTCAAACGCAGCTCCTCTCCATTGACGGACAGTATATAGTATGACGTCTGGTGCCCAACAAGCGCTACGACGTACCATGGAGATCTACTCGTCTACAACTCGATTCGCCTTTGCATGCAATCAATCGAACAAGATTATCGAGCCCATTCAATCCCGATGTGCCATCCTTCGTTATGCCCGGTTGACAGACGGCCAGGTCGTGAAGCGGTTGAAACAGGTGTGTGACGCCGAGCAGGTGGAACATAACGAGGAAGGAATTGCTGCATTGGTATTCAGCGCAGAGGGAGACATGCGTCAAGCCATTAACAACCTCCAAAGTACATGGTCAGGGTTTGGCTTTGTCAGCGGGGACAATGTCTTCAAGGTGGTCGATAGCCCACACCCCATCAAGGTTCAAGCCATGATCAAAGCCTGCTGGGAAGGGAAGGTGGACGTTGCTCTCGACACACTCAACGAGCTGTGGTATGTCTCTTCCTAGGCCTATCACCGACATCGCGCTGTGATACTAACGAGTATGTCAGGGTCCTGGGATATTCTTCACATGATATCATCAGCACTATGTTCCGAGTAACCAAGACCATTCCCTCTCTGTCAGAACATTCCAAGCTCGAGTTCATTCGTGAGATTGGTTTTACACACATGCGCATCCTGGACGGTGTACAATCCGTGCTGCAGCTAAGCGGTTGCGTCTCTAAGCTTTGCAAGATCAACATGAAACCCCAGCTTTTTGAGCCACCGAGGAGCTGAAAGCTCGGGTTTTACTGCCGAAGAATTGCATTTAAGTGGCGTTAGTGGCATTAGTGTAGGATATTGTGGCAGTTTCATTCATCAGTTATCTAGCATTTTACTTCAAAAGAGCTCCGGATTATATACAATGTTAGGGTACTAGCTGAAGGAACTACTCTTTGGCTGCAGTTGATTCAATACTTCCTGGGAGAGCGCAGTGGTCTCATGCAGTCAGGTTTTCGTCAAGCCTGCTTTAGAGGCATGGGAGCTTCAGGCATTCTTGCCCCCTCGGGTGGCTTGTTCTTGCTCTTGAACTCGTCGCACATTTGCTCGAATGTCACCCATTCTACGCCTTCGTGCTTGTTGATATGCTCAATGATTCTGTCATTGTTAGCGCCCAGCTGCAAAGCTACGACTGAGACATAGAACCGCGCCAACTCACCTCTCATGCATTAGGAGCACATGCGGACGTCCAGACACATCGGGATGTATGGTCATCGGGAAAACAAACTCGTCGTACTCGCGGTAGAAGTAGTCAAAGTGATCCTAGATCGCCACGGGTCATCAGCCCAGCTCATGTCAAAGACAAGGAACTTTATCACACCAACCTTCCAGATGTCCTCAATGTCTCTTGGATTCACCCATCCATGGCTGTTCGGTGCCGATTTGATGAACATCATCGGCGGCAAGTCATCGATGTACCAATTTCCGGGGATCTCGACAAGTCCTGTATCCTGGCCCCGGACGAGGGGCTTCATCCACGTCTCAGCCTTCTGCTTATAGTCGATCTTAGTCCACGAGTCGCCTGTTCGCAGCCAGTATATCTGGCAATCATGATGAGACATGGAATGATCGTACTCGATTCCATAGGAAAGCAGCAGATTAGCCATTTCTTTGCTCGTTTCCCACCATGGAGCAACGATGCCTCGTGGCGGCTTGCCGCAGAAATTATATATCATATGGTAGGTCTTGTCCAGGATGTCACGCTGTTGCTCGATAGTCATGTCGGTTGGGTTCTCGTGGCTATATCCGTGGAGACCGATCTCGTGGCCCTGATCGCGGACCATGGCGCACTCTTCCGGGAAGGTCTCAAGCGAATGACCGGGAATGAACCATGTCGCTTTGATGCCATACTTCTCGAATAGCTTCAGCAGTCGCGTTGTGCCGATATGGCCGGCAAAGAGGCCTGGGAAACCGTCCTGATCAGCAGAGCTTTGGTGGGAAGAAGATAGAACAGAGGGTCAAGTGGCCACTACCACTGTTCTTGCTGGAGAGACTGAATACCTCGACTGATGTCATTGGAACTGTCCTCTCCGCCATATGACCCCAGCCATCCGGCTACAGCGTCGATATCTACTCCGTAGCTGACCAAAACACGCTTCTTGCCCATTGCGCTATGTTGCTGGATGATGGTTTGAAATGATGGGAGGTATGTTTGGGGATAAGGAAAGAACGAGCTGCGAACTTAAATCATTCGCGCTTCAATCTTATCGTTTGCTGCGCATGACGGACAGACCTGCCGCTAAGAGTGGGGAGGAAGAGGGGAAGCTTCGAAGACACGGAGATAGGATGATGATAAGTGCCTCAGATAAAGCCCGGGAGATAAGCCCAGCAAACGCTCTTTCGGTAAACGGGGCCAGGTTCGAGTCGGATCTGGTCAGATCACTTATATTCGAGTCACTTACTTCCTAATTAATCTCTCGACCAAGTTCAACTCACATCATTAAGCCAACTTGTCAAGGGTCAGGACTTCATGAACGTTACCTAGACACGATGTATCCTCCGACTTCCTTGATCATTAGTTACGAGTTACTCTTACTTCCTGGATTTCTACCCCAAATCCCCTTCCCAGGCCGCCTCCAACTCGTGCCGAACGTGACCCCGACTGCCCCAATAGCTACGACGCTAAATTGGAGGCGGGTGCAGATAAAAGGTGGGGGTTGACATGATCTGACCGGCAAAGAAATATTAACTACCTAATCCGTAGTTGATTAGACTATTTAGCAATCACAATGAGTGTCCGTATGCAGAATACCATGTCATGGTATGGATCATGCTCCTTCAGCGATAGCACATGCTTTCTTCCAAAGGGTTTCAATGGCACTCGCTGCGCCTAGTACCACCTCCTCTTCCAGTTTCCTGCCAATCACCTGGAGACTAACTGGATGACCATCCATGGCCCTAGCATCGTACAATTGCCAGTTCCATGCATCAAGCTCGTTCCTTGGCTGATAGTCGGCCGGTAGCTCATCCCGGTCCGCCCTGACTCGATCTACAGGGAATGTGACGGCAGGATAGTCGAGAAAGTTCCAGATCTTTGTGTAACCAACCCACCGTATACTCCGGTGGGGAATGGCTGGATGAGGTGTCGTTGGAGCCAGAAGTATGTCAACGTGCTTACCCGAGGGAGAGAGGGTCGCGTTCCACTTGTTGAGATATCGCTCTTGTAGAGCAACCTTTCTCTTGTTGAGCTGCCAATACTCATAGACGGAGACAGCCTTGCCGCGGTTGACGAGCGCTTCAACGTGGGGAATATAAGGCTCCCCCGCCGCATCGACATCGCGACGGACGTCTTCACCTCCATCAACAGTGTAGAATAAGTCCATGAGGCGGATACACTCCAGATGGTCCGACGCGTCCCATGTCACTATGTCGTGACCGTGCGCCTTTAACATGGTAGAAAGCTCACGGAGAGCTCGTGCGATGGGCGGATGGACCCTCACGACTCCATCATCCACGACCAGGCCAATAGTCATAGGTCGACTTTGGATTTCTCGGAAAGCGTTCTCGTTCCAAGGAAGCGGTGGGCATTTCGGATCAAACAACCATGGCTTAGCATCGATTAACGCTCGACTTACATAGCAGAGTGACGATAGGTCCCTCCCCATGGGACCAACAGATGAAGGAACGTGCTCCTGCCCTTCAGTTGAAACGGGAACTCCGTGGTAAGGAAGCCTGCTACTCTGGTGCGGAGTTAGTCTTCAACTTTGCTATGGCTTCGGGATCCGGCCTTACACTGGGTTTCAAGCCATACAGTCCCATGAGACTCTGCGGGATTCTGATGCTCCCACCGATATCTGTTCCAAACCCTAAGAGAGAACCGCGCAGTGCCAAAAGCGCAGCTTCTCCTCCAGTCGAGCCGCCCGGCGTAAGTGCAGGGTCCCGCGGATTGGTTGTTAGGCCCCAGAGGGGATTTTCCGTCTCAGCCCACTATTGAATCCGTTAGTCTCCGGAGCGTTTGAACTGGACAGGGGTTGCACCATAATGCTCTGTGGTAAGTTCGTCTTGGCCAACACAACAGCACCCATGTCTTTCAGTAACCGAACCAAGATTGCATCTTGCGCAGCGGGCGCAAACGAGCGGCCCACGTAGCCCAGTGTGCTATCGACCCCTTTGATGTTGAACTGATCCTTCAGCGTGACCGGAATACCATGCAGGGGACCTTTGACTTTGCCAGTCCGTTGAAACTCGCGATCCAAGTCCCTGGCTTGTACCAAGGCTTCCTCGAAGGTAACCTCTGTAAAGCAGTTTGTCTAGTGGGTTGCTCCTGTCAGTACCCCGTGATCGAGTTCGCCGTTATCCATCATATGGTCCAATCCCATACTCACCAATTGATGCGCCACCACAGCTCTGAGTAGACGTACTATAGTATCAGCATGTAGTCGGATTATCTTCGCGCTTGCGGCGTGAACAGGTGTACCTTTTGATGTAGGCTAGGATGGTCTGCTCCGCAGTGATTCTTCCAGTCTTCAATTGTTCGAAAAGCTGAAGAGCACTGTCAATGTCGGTAATCGCCTCAAAGCCGGATGCATCATGCAGGCAGGTGCGCTCATGGACATTGTACACGCGAGGAAAACGTTGATCAATATCGGCGACAATGTAGGGTTTTATCTTTTGATCTCGCAGAGAACGCTTTTTAGCGACGACCTGTTCCCACGGCTGTAAATTTCTCATAGTTGACGATATAAGAAGACTTGATGATTGGGCTGCTTAGTCAAGCTCAGGTCAATTGTCGATTCTAGAAAGGAGGGAGACAGAGAGGGAAAGAGGGAGAGGGTGAGAGAATCTGGTGCTTTCACACCTGTTTTATATGTCGGTCATGAAGGGCAATCCAGTGCCAATTCCACCAGTTGGGACTCGAATGATAACCAAACCAACTACTACTCAGTAGCGATAAGCAGTGCATGAAACAGTCGCAATTGATTGGACCCAGGCCCGAATTCAGGACCTGAGAAGTGTACTTACGTACGTAGGTATACCTACTTGGTAGTAGTTATATCTACGATAATCACACAGGAAGCTGAATTACAGTACCAGTACTAGGTCTACGAAGTGGAGTGTGTATGAGCGGGTACTGTACTGTGCTCTGTACTGTAAAATACCAGAGAATGATACTGAGTATCTTCGGTGGGGAATGAATGGCGGGCGGAGTTTTTTTGCCTTTTCCCCGCGCGGTTGCAGTGACGCTCAGCTTTTTCTCTCGTTATTTTCCCCGGCTTCCTGCCTACTCCCTGCAGTCCCGCCCGCCGCCGACCGATCGGATTGAACATCCAGCCTCAACCCACTCCTCCCATCCCATCCCACTCCTGCTGGCTTGCTTACTTGCTCATACGTAACTTACTACTAGGTACTTACTTGCTTGGCCATGATGGTCTGACCGTCTGAGAGACCTTGCATTCTGCTGTGCAACAATTGTGTTCTCCATTGGGAATATGCCACAATCATGAACCAGCCACGCTCGGATGTTGCCGCAACATCGTCATCATCATCAACAACAACAACAAACACAACAACATCATCTTCGTCAGTGACTGGTGCCATCCGCACAGAATCCCGAAGGAAGGCATTAGGAGCTGTTGCGAAGCGCGCGTGTGATCAGTGCAAATTTCGGAAAATCAAGGCGTGTGATCTCTTCCTTATTTCCCCCCATTCTTGTTCCTTTCACTTCTTCGCTCACCGCCCCCCTCCTCCTTCCCCTCTCTCCTCCCCCTCTCCCGCAGCAACTGTGGAGACTTACAGCTAACCTACCTGTCTTTGTGACGACAGTGCAGCTTGTCACAACCATGTCGAGCTTGTGTATCTATGGGCTTTGAGTGCACGTTTTTCCAGCCTCAGAAGAAAAGAGGCCCCACTGGCCAGTGAGTGCATCCATCCGCTCTCTTAGTCATCTCTATTGGAATATTCTCATCTTACCTATCGTGTTTCGGAACTCATAGCCGAGTATCCCAGATTCGGCAACAACAAAATAACCTCTCATTGAACCACCCCCCAGCTCAGGGAGCATCGAGTTCGTTCCCAAATGCTTTCCCTTACCACCAAAATTCCTCGTCTCGAGGTGATCAGGTTCCCCAGGCCCTTCGAACTCAATCTTGGCCCATTCCAAGCGAAAACCCAGTATCCATAGAGCTCGCTCCTTCAAGTGCGACTCCATCCATGCAGCCAGGCTGGAGCACAGACGCTTCCGAGTCACAAAGCAATGGTGGGATTTGCTGGAACGAGCGCAATGATGTAGAATACTGGCTTCCAGATACCCTGGACGCTCAATTGCCCGTGTTTGATTTTCCGGGAAACAACATCCTCTTGAAAACGTCGCTTCCCTCCATTATCGAGACCCATCCAACCTCTGCAAGCCTACAGGCGCCGACTATACCTTCGGCGGGTGCTACAGCACCGAAAACAGATATTGTACCGCCAGACTCTCATCATTTGCAAATGGTGTGGCCTGCGTCAATTGTTGAAGCTAACATGATCCCGTGGATTGATATTTACTTTGATCGTCTGCACCCTACTCTGCCAGTCTTGAACCGCGCGGCTCTATTCATCCGCATGTTGGCTCACGAACATCGGAGAAACCCTCAATTCGGCGCAATGTTGTTAGCGCTGTGTGCCTTTTCTCTCACGCAGCCGATCGAGATACAGGAGCGTCCGACGTCCTCCTCCCGAGCGAGCCAAGCGAGATCCATGATGCATGAAGCGACAAAGATGCGGAGCTGTTCTGATTTCGGTGAGCATCCCACCATCGAGGCTGTCCTAACCAGCTTCTACCTATTCGGTTGTCTTTTTGGTAGCAATCAGCATAATGCGGCTTGGCTTCGCCTGCGGGAGGCCCTAGATCTCGCGGCTACAATGGGTCTCAATAATCCAGATTCATATCAAGATTTACCTAGCGAGGAAAAAGGCCAGCGACTACGGACTTACCTAGTCTTATCAATCACCGAAAGGTAGGCTGTCTGATAGCGCTATGGACTAGATCCTTATGCTAATTGGTATCCATTTGTGAAGGGCTTATGCGTTACAACGCAGGCATCCGATTACCTTCTGGGGCAGGCCGGGCTTTAGTATGCGGCCTGTTCATGACTTCATTCACACTGCCACCCACAGTTTGGTGTC